TATAATAAAAAAGAAAAAAGTCTTGCTGATATCAACGATTTTGGCTACTTTAATCCAGCTGAAAGTAAATATAATAATGATATTGATATTGATTATAATCAAACTCGAGAAATTGGGCAAGATAATCAAAAGGGGATTCTTTGCTGCTTTAATAAACCTCTTGTAAGCAACATTGCTTGGGTTATTGTGATAATAATTATAGTCTTATTAATATTGTACTTTAAAAAATCTTTAAATTGACTTTACTCTACCTGTTAACATACTATTCGCATAATACCCTATCAAAAGCCATATAAAAGTTCTGTATAAAATTTACATTGAGTATATAATCAAAACAAAATTATAATATCCTATTTTTTTTCTTAATGAAATAAAGAATATAAATTATCCTTGTGTTAATAATAAATAATAACTGTAAGTGAATATAAGATTGTAAAAAAAAAATTAATACTTAAAATGATATTAATAATCGTACAAAAAAAATATGTATCGTTAATATCAGGGCTAATCCATGTATACGCAAATGAAAAAATTTTGCATTAATCTTAGTAATTTTCATAGCCAACAGACTCCAGCTTTTCTATTTTCCCTTCAACCTCTATTCTGATTCTATCCATATAGTCTAGCATACCAGTAGAGTATAAATCAAATGTTCCTCCCAAAATTCTAACTGCTAGCAGCCCAGCATTATCAGCGTTGTTTATAGCGACTGTTGCAACTGGTATTCCACGAGGCATTTGAACGATTGAATAAAGAGAATCAACACCATCCAAGCAACGACCTTTTACAGGAACGCCAATAACAGGAAGTGGAGTAAGTGCAGCTACCATTCCAGGAAGATGAGCAGCACCGCCAGCGCCTGCAATGATAACTTTAAGCCCTCTTTTTTTAGCAGATTGTGCATACTCAACCATTCTTTCTGGAGTTCTGTGTGCTGAAACAATAGTAAGTTCAAATGGAACGCCGAAAGATTTGAGCTGATCAGCCGCCAGCTTCATGACTGGAAGATCAGAATCAGAACCCATAATGATTCCAACGAGTGGAGTCGGCTTATAATCATAAGTATTCTCGATATTTTGAGTATTTAAATCAAGGATTTGCTTAAATTGAGTAGGGTGAACGTTATTGTAGTTTTTTCCAGAAACAATGTACAAAATAGCACGGAGTCTTTGGCTTAGTTCAACAGGGGAATTTGCGACAATAGTTACGTGGCCCATTTTTCTATCGACTTTTGCTTCTTTCTTTCCATACATATGTACAGTTGAACCAGGGACAGACAGAGTATCAGCAACTATTGATTTCATTACTTCTGTGCTATTATAGCAAGGTGTTGGCACATTGAATATATTTGGTAAACCTAATATATTGACCATAGCAGCGAAATTAACCTTTAGCTTTGTTGAGCCTAAAGGAAGGCCTAATACAGAGCGCAAATGATTTTCATACTGAGAAGTTTCACAGGCTTCTATAGTGTAATGACCTGAATTATGAGGGCGAGGAGCGATCTCGTTAACAATCACCTCTCCATTATCAAGCAAAAATAGTTCAACACCAAACACACCGGCGCTTTTTGAAATTTTTTCTATCGAAATAGGGGCTTCACCACTTTTTACTTTAAGATTAATGCTAGTTGGAACTGAAGTAATTGCTTTAACGGCGGTACAAGCCATTTTTTCGGCCTTTTCTCGAATAAGTCCATTTATTGGAGCCGGGGCTATAACCAGATTGCAGATATTGTTACTTTGAACAGTTTCAACAACAGGGTAGCAAACGATCTCATTGTCAATTCCTTTAACTACCATCACGGCCAATTCTTTTGTAAATGAAATAAGTTTTTCAGCGTAAATCCCAGAATCTTTAATTTCTTCGCCGGTGCTAGAGACTAAGTTTGAGCTTAATTTATCCCAGGCTTCTTTAAGTTCTAATTCTGAATTAACAAATACATTTCCTCTTCCGTCATAAGCACCTCTCCTCGCCTTCAATATTAAAGGGTATGAGAATCGAGTTCCGATACTGACTGCATGCTCATAATTGTTACAGGCTTCAAATTCAGCTACCGGGATTTCATTTTCAAACAAAACCTTATGCTGCAGATATTTATCTTGAATAACCTCAATAGTTTTTGGAGAAGGTAAAACGTATGTGTGGATAGAATTTACCGAGGCATCCTGTGTAACAGGCAATTCTAAGCTACTTCCAGCCCTCAAAATTTCACTTTGAGAGATTTGCATGGCTACAATTTCAGACAAAGTTTTAGTATCTACGTGCTCGATTTCAGCAGTAATAACATCTACTTTATTCGATAGTTCAATTATAGCATCGCTTCTCTTGAAATCCTTATCAATATGAGATTTGTTGCTTATTTGCTTAGCAGGAGAATCAGACTGTGGATCAACGATAGTAACATCCACATTTAATCGATGTGCCGCTTCTATTAACATTCTTCCTAGCTGGCCGCCGCCGAGGATACCGACTTTTTTGTCAAGGGGATTCATACTTTAATTTAATATTTAGAGTGTTTGACAAAGCGTAAGATCTGAAAAAGTTTCTGGAAATTAAAGGAATTTAAAATTATTACCTTAGATAAAGGTGTAAATATTATAGATTTTTATAGACATTACTTGATCTTGCTTGATTTTGGATTTAGAATTTATGTACATCGCTTTATTTGCCTATACGAATCTAAAGTATTCATTGGGTTAACCAAATAAAGTATTGGCTATAATTATCAAATGAGACTTTTAGCTTGTTATTTACTTCTTATGGCCAATAATCAATTTCATTTTCAAAAATTTTAAAATTGTTTGAGAATGTTTGCTAATCATTTCCAATGGATATATAATACCTCTCTGAGAACTGGATCACATCGTTGTGCTTATTGGCTAAATCTAAACAGAAATAATCATTTCATTTGGGTTTTTAATATAATAAAATACAGCAGATAGATTCTACTGCCATAATTTTTTACCTCCAAATACACATTATATTATTGTTTTATACGGAAGGTTATTTACAAAGAGAACACTTCCATGCATAATGAGCTACAGTGTATAAAATCGCATAAAAATCAATAGCCAACGAGTAAAATGTTTAATTTTGTATCGCAAATTATAATTCCAAAATGAAACAAAATAAATAAATAGAAAAACTAAAATACCTTTTATATTCCTCGTATAATATTTAAAAATAATTTGTGTTCATGTCAATAATTTCAAGTCGCAACAAAGCGCTTTCTTCGTTCAGAATTTCCCGTACTGCTATAATACTTATAGTTATTAAATAATAAGCTTTAGAAAGATAAAACGGTTTCAAAACTTCAGTATTTTCACACTTCGCTGAGTTAATCTCTGTGTATAATTATTATAATCTTTTTACCTTTTATTTGATCATCTTTTTTCCAGATTCGCGCTGGTAACACCTACATTATTATTTAGACGGAAACAGTGAAAAACTCTCTCTCTCTTCCCCTCTATTGCTTGTCTAAAGAAATTTTCAAAAAAATGAGAACCAAATCATAATCAGTATACCACATTGTTTTAGTGAGTATATGGTATTGTTTTACACTAAATTCAACACTAACTTTCACATAAATATAGTTTTTTTATTTCTTATATATTAATATCAATTCTAAAAACGAATAAAACGAAATAACAACATTAATAGATGATATCTGGTACAAGTAAGTAAACTGAATACCGGCGGTTCGGCATACTATCAGTAAAAATATTGGCCGCAAACGATTAATTTTGAGTCCTATTACAATTAATTCGATTACCCAGTAAAAAAAAAGGATGAAAAAAAACAAAATTTATCAATTTTTACAAATATAGCCCATACTAGAATATATTTTTTGTCTTCGATTATTAAGTAAAGTTTAACAAGCTGGTAATTTCAAACATTTTGATCCAGTATAGAAGTGCAGGGATCTGTTTTAGCCAAAGTCAAAAATACAAAACGTGCAATCACACGAATTAAGACCCTAATCGTCAATTTTTTGCATCAAATTTGAACATTTCAAGCTATTAAACAAAAAAATCTCTTAGGTCTTATTGAAAATTTTAAAATTCCAATAAATAATAAAAAGACAAATATAAATCCAAAAAAAAAAACGATTATCGCGAAATTAAGCGATCCAAAAGTGAAATTCACGTAGTGTATAGCGAAAATCTTTAATCTTCCAGCTATTCGAAACCAAACCAAGTTTTAAATATAAAAGTACGAATTTTAACAAACGAAAAAATTCAATTAAAAATGCTATATATTCAAAAACTTACGCTACTCTATCCAAAGAAGAGTCGTTAAATCATTTATTGTATGGGGGTGAAAGTCAAAATTTGAAAAAGTTTTGCAAAATGGGCTCTGAAAGAAAAGTACGTATGAGCTGGAGCAAATTCAAAGAAAAAGGTCACGATGCGGTCGAAGCTATGGGATTTTTTTCTAAACATTTAACAGGGGCTTATTACACTATTCAAGAGGCCTTTAGAAGCAGAGTGACCTATTGCATTTTCCACGAAGTATCTGAAGCTCAAGAACTGATTAAAAATTTCATCTTCAGACAAGGAATAAAAATTTAATTTACCAAAAAGTAAAATTTGAAGATATTACTATCATCAACGTTCCTAATTTTAAGGGCGTGGATGTTATTACAATGATTCACATTATTAAAAGTCAAATAGAAAACTACTGCGGAATTAAAGATATAAGCGCCTTAGAATAAAAGGGGCTGGAGAATTTTTAACATACCATGTGAAAATTCTTTTCGTAAAAAAATCTATAGACATTGATCAGCCTAACTTCAAAAATGACTGAGGGAAGATCAAACTTTCTATAGGGGGTGCAAAGAGGCTTGTGGTTTCAGAAAAAAAGACGGCAACTTGAAATCTGCACGCCCACAAATAAAATAAAAATTAAGAACTTCAGTAACTCAAAAAAAATTATAAAAAAAATTATATGAATGAAACTGCGGCTAAATTTATCAGATCAATTGTGAATGGTAAAATCAAAATCTATCAAACAACAAGTCAGAATATCAGCAAGACGATCAGAGCTGTAGACTTTGGAACTGATCTAAGTTTCAAAGTTAGCTTAAATAAGTTACACAAGTCTGTGCTTTACGTGTCAGTAGAATGGAAATAACAACATTGTTTATCCGTTACCAAATCTTACTTTTATTTCATTTATATATTTCCAACTATCTATCAAATTGGCCTAAAGATCATTTAATACTCTGATTGATCTGTTTTTGTTTACAATTCCACTTGAAAGTATTTTTGCATTCTTTTCGTGATCACAAAGACAGTATCTGCTTTTCAGGGTCAAATCCATTTTTCCAATATAAAAAGAGGGTGTTTTTCCCTACTTAAAGAGAGGGGATATTCTTTTAAAATAAACACTACTATAAATACTATTTATAAAATTTTTTTGTCTAGGGAAAAGACCATAATAAAATTCCCGGAAATTTTTCCAAAAATAAAAATAAAAACAAAAAAATCTCGATTATTAGCGGCAAATTAAATATCGCGATTTTGATAGCATTAAAGTCTGATAGTACCAAGAGTATAAGTCCTATTTTATCGGTAGTAGGTGCAGCCGATTCAATCGGGAAAAAAGCTGTACCATAATCTTGTGTACATGTTTTTTCCGATTTAAATATCAACCATAATACAGATGAAGAATTACATAACTCCATAGTTTAATCTGATGCCGATTTTTATAATAGTAGAAATACATGAATATATGCGATACATCACTGATACAGATAGCTATTGAAATTGATTTGAATGATATAGTGGATTAATCGGGCGATTCCTCTATATAGAAACAAATAACGAATATAAAAATTATAAAACACAAAAATATCAAATAAACTTTTAATGTTTAACACTGTATAATTGAAATCCAATACATTCAAAATTTTTATTTTTTATAGATTTAACATTGAAAAAAGAATTTTTTACATTAAAAAATTAAACTAGAGAAACAAAAAATCAGACACTAACTTATATACTTTTAAAAATCAGCAAAGATTCTTTCATCAACAGAAATTAGAAAAATAGAAAAAACACTAGCAGTGATAATTTGTGGTGAAATTAAAAAAACATTTAAAAAGAAAAAAAGCAAAAATTATTTTTAATCAAGTAAAAATAATGATAACAGCAATATAAAATTATTATTTTTAACATCCGCGGAATAAAATCAATAAAATCTGAGCTGGAATTATTTTGCAAAAATCAAAGCCAGTATAGTTTTGCATCAAGAAAAATTTCTGATAATATAAAATCATAGATGCAGAATATCAAGTATTTCTTTCAGTTAATCAAAATCTGAAATAAAGAAAAGGTGACATTGGTTAATTGATCGGAGATTGAGATACATCTGGGCTAAAAAAAAATTGAATATCAATAAAACTTAGATTTCGGGTGAAATCCAAGTCTCTGTGGATAAAAAAGTAGTTTTATAATAAAAATTAATAACTTTAATATACCCATCAGCGGCTTCAGAGGAAAAAATACTGTATATCAGGCGGTTAGTTGTATCAAAACCAGAGCCAAAGAAAAAATATTCATACGTGGTTATTTTAACATGCAAGTTGTGAGAGCTATAAATTTTCTTAAAAAATCTGGGACCAACTTTAGTTCGGCCTCCGTATAAAACCCCATTAGCTCAAGGTGGAACAAGAATAGAATGTGAAGAATTATTGATGATATATTTTTCTACAATATGAATTATCAACCGAAAAAGTGCAGTAAAAATAAATATTTGCATATATCTGACCATTTTCCGATCACAGCATAGTGTTAAGTTAAGATTTTTGACAATATATACACAATAAAAAAATCAAAATGAAAAAAATGAAATCTACCTGCAACCAGTTAAAAATTAATAACCAATTTGAATCATTGGACGTCTATTTTATCGAAATTTATAATGATAATAATTGATTAATTGATATAGTATGGACAGAATTCGATTTTATAGGAATATTTGACGGTCCTTGTAATGAAAAAAAATTTTATCATCAAAAACTATTAAAAAATTTCAAACTTTTTACAAAGTCCAAAATCGATTTCTGAAACTTATAAAAAGTCAAAAAATGACTGAAATAAATCAAAAAAATTGATTCAAAGAAATTGTATATTGAAAAATTAAAATAGCTTAATGAAAATATTGTAATTAGTCGCACCAAAAAAATTTAATTTCGTTAAATTCTCTACAAAAAAGGAAAATAATAATAATATTTCAAATGAACCATTATTCGACGAAAATAAAAATTTTGTTACTGATAACAAGATATAATTGAAGTTTGGGAGAATAATAAAAAAAATTTAGCTGAGGATCACAGAAAAAATATCAAGTCTTCTGAAAAGTGGGAAAGTGTCATTGAAAATGAATTTGATAAATTCAATGAGTGCGATTAAAATATTTATTGTGAAGAAATATTGATGTCTAATAAATATGTCCCTAATTAAAAAACACATAGTATCAATGTAATAAA